AGAGAAGAGGGAAGGAGAGGGTGGGAGAGGGGGGAGAGGGAGAGGAGAAAAGGAGAGGGGGGAGAGAGGGGGAGAGGGAGAGGGAGAGAGAGAGAGAGAGAGAGAGAGAGAGAGAGAGAGAGAGAGAGAGAGAGAACCACCCTAGGGGCTTTCTCTCCTCCAGCCCCCAGCTTGCTGAGCTGCTCAGGGTCTAACATCTTCTTGCCCCTGTCCAGCCCGTTATCACCCCAATAAGCCAATCCTTGTCTCTCCAGTTGAACCATCGTCCCTGGTTAGCAGCACAGAGTCTCCTAGCACTTGAGGCCTGAGTTACCTAGGATCTCTTTAGATAAAGACACCAAGGAACGACCCGTGGAAGGGCCAGACAGCAAGAGAGTTACAAAAACTCTGAAAATCTGTCATGGACTGGCATGGTCTTGTTTTATTTTCCTCCTTGCTCTCCTAGCTCCTCTAGAAAACTCTAGACATTTTAGAAGAGGAGTTCTATCACTTGAAAGGCACTGTGTTCCTGTCCTCTCAGACTGGGTATGACACACATAGGCTAGTTTACACATGAGGATGCTGTGTTCCAGATCCTAAACCTGGAGTTTTCTATTGTTTTGGTCATCAGGGCTGCTTGGGGATCATGAGGGCCATGAGGACCTCGCCTGCATCCTTTGTACAAGACACATTCGATAGCCATACCACTTATTCTGAGTCCGAAGCCATGTACTTGGGCAAGTTCCTCTCCCAGCTGGGCTCCCATCAGGCTGCCCCATTAGTCAGCCTGATTGCTCTCTTTTTTGACAAGGGAGCAGCAAAGAGAAGCAATTGAAGACCATGCTTACGATGAGGTCTCAATCAGTCACCAGATCTTATTTAGGACATTGTATACCATCAGGTATATGGGGGTTTCCTCTGAACACTTTTCTAAGACACCAGTTGGCCTTAGGCACTGATATGAGGGGAAGCAGGATGCTTTTCATCTGATGTTGTATGCCTTCAGGTATCCCCAAGCATCACAGACTTGTTCTCCCTTAAACAGCAGTTGACCCCAAGTTGCCTTCAGACACTCACTTCAGGCTGTTACCCCCTGTTCCCGACCCAACTGGTCAGGAGCGCTCTCTCTCCATGTGCACTCCTCTACCTGATTTCTTCTCAGGCTCCTTGCAGAAGGGAAACTGGTCTTTCTGGGATCAGGCACTCCCAGTGACCCCCACTGGCCATGTAGATTGTGTGTCTACATAGGTACCATCACAGCAAACTGGTCTGTCATTCCTTTAGAACAACTTTCCAAAGTGGGATTCAGAAGAATGGTAGGTATAATAGACATTTCTTGCAGAAATAAATTTGAGAACTTAAACATTGCTTGTCATGCAATGTGGGTCAACTCCTGGTGAGTGTATACCCAGACTCTTCTAGTGGGGTTACAATGCCCAGTGGTGCCCAAAGGTCTTTCACTGGAAATCTTTCCCCAAACATCTTGCTGGATTGCTGTTCCACAGGATGCACTGGAATAGGCCCTGCCCTAGAGAATGGATTTCATTCCTCCAGCTGGCATTTACTAGAAAATACTGGTGGCTGAATGTCCGGTATCTGTCAGGGCATGGGTTTGGGGATCATAGTGACACGTGTTACAGGCTCTGCCCTGCCACTTTCTAGATGCATGCCTTTTAAGGCAGGTAAGCACAGGGAACAGTTTAGCAATCTGGAACTCCACTTGGTTTGAGCTGTACATACACCCCTCTTCTATCCTGAGAGACTTACCTGCACATACTACATATACACACCCCTCTCCTAACAATGCACCTAGCAAAACCTGGAGACATCCCCCCCACCTGTGCCAAGGAGTTCACACATTCCATTCTGAAAAATATAATGTTTCTTTGCCCTTAATACCTATCAATAACTCTCCTTTCGTGGATAGTTTCCATTCTAATATATTTCCAGACATACCTCGGTATGGAAGGTAAGGGGTCTGATCCAGCCTAGACTGGTTTTAGGCACATGTACAGCAAAACAAACTGTCCTTCATGTGAACTTTGGGGAAAAATGTCTATTTACCATCTCATGCTTATGCATAATTTGGTATGCATATGATTAAAATCAGATACATCTTGGGAAGTGAAATGAGCAGTAGAAAAAAGCTTATAATAACTGAAATCTGTCAATCACCACCCAAATTATGTCTCTTAGTAACCAGCCCCTCCTTCCCCTGGACCCTAAAAAGCAAACCCTGGATCCTATAAAAGCAAACCTTGGACCCTATAAAGGAAACCTCAGACAATAACCTGTTCCCTGAGCACTTCCAGGCAGCTGGCCTGCTGTCACTCTTTGTCACTGTATGTGATCTGTATTATCCACTTGCTTTTGATCTGTATTATCCAGTGGCTTTCTTTGCTACTTTGTGAGCTGTGTGTGGCTTTATTTCTATTTGACTAAAACGCCAAGATACCATCCTGTCCAGATACTAACTACTGTACTAGTTTCACCTCTCTAAGCTTCATATTTTTTCATCTGCAAGACAGGAATATGGTGTTGCCTACCCTAGAGATAATAAGAGACTGCATGCATGAAAGTAAGGACAGTACAGGTCATGTCTGTCACAGTGAAGACTCAGTACCCCTCACTGTTACCACTGTCATTCTGGTTAGATGAGGTTGATACATGCACAGAAACAAGTGTAGGTCGAGGCAGTGTGGAACACGGGATAGACCAAAAGGCAGCCACAGGAGTGAAGATCTCCAAAAAGACAGCCACAGGAGTGAAGATCTCTTAAAGGACACAGTCCCTGGAATGTTCCCTGTAGGACAAGTTGAAGGTTAGAAGGAACAAGTAGGGAAGAGGCAGGCAGAAGAAACATGTGAAGGAGGACACCTTTGGGGCAAAGCCATTTTAGGGGAGCTACAGGGATAGCTGGGGAGCAGGTCAGGTAAAGGACAGAATGAACAGGACAGCTGACAAGTTCAACAGCCAGCCAGAACAGGGTAGACCTGGCACGCCAGCCAGAAGGCATGGCACTGCAGAATCAATGAGCCAGGGAAGGGAGACAGCCCTACTGGCCATCTAGGTACTCTGAAGAAAGGCACCGTGGAATCTGCCTTCTACAAAAGCCTTTTAAGGAAGATTATTTGGTGGTAGGATAGGGTGTAGAGGGAAAGGCAGAAACATTGGGGTAGGGAAAAGAAGCCAGGTAGAGTTAAAACCAAGTGAGAAGGCGGGGCAGATGGGAAGGGAGCAGGGCACAAGGGAAGTGCTCAGGCAGCCTTGCTGTGACTTTGAGACCAATGGTCCTAAATAGGGAAATGATAAATAGGGAAATGGTGCAGGTACCTATTGTGGGAATGGGCACTTTCTGCCCCTGCCAAAGCTTTGGAAATGATTTTTGCCCTGCTGATGTCCTCCTCCTTTAAGGGATCTGATTTCTAATGCAGATACTTAGCCAAGGAACCTCTTACTGTCCACAGCTTCTGACTGCTGTGCTGGAGTAGCCCTGCCCCCCAACTGGTCCCTCCAGAGTGACAGGCCTCTAACTCCATTTACTGTCTACTTTGAAGTTCAGCTTGAACGTGACACCTAGCTCACAGGACCAGTTTTGTTTCTAGATAATATAGATCTTCAAAGTGATCCAGGAAGATGAGGTGCCAGACAAAGATGGGAGCAAGTGTGAGGTGTCAGGAGAGTAGCACCTTGGAACACAGCTTTAGGGAGCCACTAGGGCTGGAAATAAGATTCCCTGACTCTTGAGAAAGGGACTGCACAGATGCACAGTAAGAAAGCACATTTTCATCTTGGCCTCAAGCATAAACGTGTGATAGAATACTGACCAAATCTGATCTGCCAGCTCATTCTGAGCATATGAATAAATGCCCCTATCCTACCTCGGAGCCTCTGAATGAAGCTCAGGCAGATGGAAAGAGGATATCATTATAAGGAAATGGGCTGGGGATTAGGGATGCTTGCACGAGTTTCCGGCCTCATTTTTTACCTTTTTGAAATCCCCATTCCTTTGATATTCACACAGCATCATGTCGAAGAAGATTGGTATGGTGGCTTTCCGGAGCTCAGCCTCGGGGATAAGTGTCATCTCTAATATAGGGCCCACCATGCCTGGGATGAAGCAGATTTTGTTCTGGCCTGCAAGAGAAGAGGGACACAGACACATAAAACAGGCCTTATTCCTAAAAGCTGGGGAAAGGAAGAAAGGAGGAAGAAGGCCAAAATGACAATTAACACTTACATAGTTGCTTAGTTCAGTCAGGCAGCTTTGAGCATTAGGTATTGATTAGCTGCTCTGAGAGGCACATGCATCATCCCAAGCAAGAGCTGTTATAAAGGCTGATACCGTGGGTGTGCGTAAGTGCTTCAGTGTTTACCAGGTTTCCACCTCCGCAAAAGCAGCCCCAATTGAAACTTAGTGACGGTGGTATGCAGGGATGCCTGGAATTATATCTGTCTGCATCACAAACCACGTTTCTGAGGTCTGGATAAAGTGCTTCTAACAACGGCTTCATGAAGTGAGAAAAGCTAAACTTGCTGCTAAGAACCTGCAAGTATGGTTAGGAAATAGGGGAAGTTAAAACAACATTTTGAAGCAGATGAGTCTCAACTTGTAACTCATTCTGTCTGGTTGCAGGGCATTCCCTTGCTATCTGGGTTCTAGTCCCACCAACCTGGCTCCAATGCCATGAAGCCGCCTTGCTTCCTCCACTTCAGGGCCTTGCATGAGGATGCTCTCGTCCCTGCCAGCTCCCCAGAACTCCTTCTGCTTTACCACCTGCTTTCCCTGAGTGGCTCCCATCTTAGCTCAGATATTCCTGGATAGGAGTCCCCTGCATCCCATCTCCCCACCCAAGCTAGACCAGATATCTATTCTGGCTCCTTCTCCTCTGCCTTTTCAACCTTCTTTTAAATGTCTTTGCTTATGGACTCATTTGATTGACACCCGCTTCCCTCACTGAGTGCTCCATGAGGGCAGACACCTGTTCCTGTTCTCAACAGACAGGCAGCACTGAGCAGAGAACAGATCAGAAACCCAGTTTGTGTCTGTCCAACAAGGCAAGAACTTTGCCTAGAGTCTCTACTCATTAACTGAGTGACTTGGATATAGGTCTCACAAAAATGGAGAACAAACTCATCTATTGAGCAGATCATATGAAAATATGTCTCTGTGCACTTGGCACAGGACCAGAGATAATGAACACCCCATGGCAAGGACACAACCAAGGGTACTAATTATGGAGTAAGATTACCTGAAGTTATAAACTGAACCCTATTAACTAGCTGTAATGTTGGGCAAGTTTGTCTCATTTTGGGGGCCTAAATATCCTCTTCAACAACTTGGGATAGTAACTAACAGCATTCATGTCATAGGATAGTTTTCAAGAATAAGTGACTCATGGGCTGGAGAGATGGCTCAGAGGTTAAGAGCATGGGCTGCTCTTGCAGAGGACCTAGGTTTGTTTCCCAGCACCCAAATGGCAGCTAACAATGGTCTTTAACTCCAGTTCCAGGAGATCTGATGCCCTCTTCTGACCTCTGCAGGCATTGACATGGGTTGGTATATACATGTAGCCAATACAATCATACACATAAAATAAAAATAATAAAGTATTTTTTAAAAGAATAAGTAAATCACGAGCTAGGGAGATGGCTCACTGGGTAAAAAGGAAAACGTTGCCTGCATAAGCACAAGGATCTGAGTTTGAATCCCCAGAACTCATGTAAAAGCTGGACATGTGGCACAAGCTTCCATAATCCTACAGAGAGTTGGGAGGTAGAGACAGGAGAATCACAGAAGCTGGCAGGCCAGCTAGCCTGGTAGATACAGTGGAAAAACACAGCAGAGCTTCACCTCAAAGAAGGTGGAAGGGGAGGAAGGAGAAGATAAACACTGGTTGTCCTCTGACCTCTGCACACATGCCACGGCACATGTGTCCCTGTATTTACACACAAATGCACACACATATGCATACACACAAGAATAAGTGATTCATTATTTATTGATCCACTAGGTCAATGTTAGGCACATGACACAGTACATCAGATATCTTTAGCCATTATCACTGTGCTGTTTGTTCAGAATGAATCACAGAGACCAGCTGTTGAGTCTCAGAATACCCTCAAAGATGGCCGAGGTGAGGAACGAAGAGCAGTGTTCAGAAACTGCAGAGTCCCTGGAGAAGGAGGGCAGGCATATTCCAGTAATGCTGCTGTTGAAACTGTCTCTCTCTCCTGAGCTCCATGTTAGGGAAAGAGGAATTTACTGCTTGGTTGAATTTACTGCTTGTAACTGATTAACTCAACTGGAGACACAGGCATCCGGAGATAGGGGCAAGTGCTGCAGCCCCCGGAGCCTGACCTGTCTGATCTGTGTCGTGTCACGTAGGCATGTCTGCTTACACAACAGGGAAGGGTTGCGTCAGGCACATACCACCCACCCTTCCCTGATTGAGACACCTGAAGGGTGTTGTAACATTTTTCTTGTTTTGAAGTTATTGGTTTGTGAAATGCTTGCTTTGAAACTATTGGTTGTATAAGTGCGGGCTTTTGTGTAACGGTTGTGGGAGCCTATATAATCTTTACCTGAAGTTGCCTCGGGGACGATTGCTCCAACCAGACCTGCGTGTCTTGGAAGGACGGTCGGCCCCAGCTAGCTGGCCTAATGAAACTCTGCTTGATTTTTGCATCTCCATACTCGTGCATTTGTTCTCCTGAAGAGACCCACCGAGTCACAGAACCTAACACTCCACAGCCTGAGAGCCAGCCTGGTCTCCTTCACTGTCAGCATGGGACAGAGGGCTCCTGAGGGTTTAGAAACTCAGATGGTCTCGTGTGAAGCCCGCATGGCTCCTTTTGATGAATGTAGAGAAAAGGTCCAGAGAGGGAAGATGGCATAAAATGAATTTTCATTCAGCCTGAATGAGGTTTAATGTTGGAGTATTTCCTCGAATTCAGGTAAAAAAAAGTATTATTCTAGGAATATCCTCAGTTGTGAGAATGAAATGATGAAATTGGGCAGAGAGTTGAGTGAAACAGAAAGATGCTTTTCTGGGATATCAGCCCCATTATACAATGCATTTGGATTACACTTGAACTTCAAGTTTTCACTTTGGCCTGAATAGAAAAAAAGGAAAAAAATCTTACTTTCTACCTGGTTTATAGCAATTGCTAATCTAGGTTTCTGATTTTGTCCTTCAAGATCCATCTTTAAGTCTTTTTCAAACCACAGTAGGGTTTTAAAATTAAAAGTTGAGTGCACTAATAGGTAGAAGGAAGATGGGAAACTGTCAGATAAGCTACCAGGGAAAGGGGAAATTGCTTATGCAACAAAGGCCTGAAGACTCCTGGAGAGCATTGGCATAATAAGGACATACTTAAAATGCTTTAAAATAAAGGGTGGACAAGTCATGGACCATGGATATTTTAACTACTTTTGACCTGTTTTGTCTGTAGTCTGTTGAGATATTTGAAAGAATATGGAAAGAGGAGAAAGGGTTACTGATCTTTAAATACAGTGGAATTGCAATGGCTTACAGTGTTCCCTAAAGGAATTTTATTCTTTATACAAAAAAATAGAAATTTAGCACATTGGAAGTTTTGTTTAACCAAGTGTGTATGTGTGTGTGTGTGTGTGTATGTGTGTGTGTGTGTGTATACACAGACACACAGACTCACAAAGAGAACATATTTATAGCTAATTGAATACAAACTCATTTGGAAAAAGATCATTCTCATTCAAAAATCACACCTGCTGCTATAGATGGAGGGAAAAGCAAGGAAAGGAATTGGTTTGAAATTTTGTTTTTTTATATAATAGATGCTGAATAGATTAAGAGTTAGAAAGGGCTTTTAAAGTACTGGTGAGCCAGCAGGATAACTTCAGATGTGGCACAGGGTCTTGGGAAAAGACCTGGTAATAAGAATTCAGGGAAAGCCTAGGCATGCGGATGGAAAGAAGCCCTACCTGTTTCCGTCCCCAGGTGCTCACCTATCCAATGGAAATGCCCTTCACTCCTCTCATGAGAGACTGACAATTGAACACCAAGGGTCTGAGGGCACTAGGAGGTAGAGAAAGAAGGGAAAGGAAGGAAATTTCTGGAACCTGACTGAGAAGGAAGCTGGACAGGTCACTGACCCTGTGAGGCTGATATGGGACAGATGGTGTTGAGACTACATGGTTCACTAGAAGCTGTCATGGGCCCTGACATGTACAAAGACAAGGGTAAGTTATGAGCTCTTAGATTTCAGAATCTGGCAAGCCTCCTAGAGACCCAGAAATAAAGCTGGGCTGGCCATGAAGAAAATATTGTTCAGTTCAACAGGGGAATGAAGAGTGCATAGCTTTCTGCTCTTCCATCTTTGGCTTAGAAAAGCTCCCTCCCGGCCACCTGGGAGATACCTGGTCCTGCTTTCCTCTAGACCCTGTGGAATCTCTGGGGCTGACACCCTGGTTCATGTCCAACCTCTGCTACTCACTCTATGGCTGTGTAACAATGTGTTTGCAATTCAACCTCTCTGGACATCCAGAGTCCCCTGTGTAACTGGACATAATATCTGCCTGATAGAATAGTCAATAAGCTCAAAAAGCACAAATGGAAACACAGGGCCTTACACAGTGTCTGGTATGTGAGGAAACTCAGTAAGCATTGATACTAATTATGATGGTGGTGGTGGTGAGGAAACTTTTGGGCTCAGCACTATACCAGGTTCTAGAAAAGGCAATATGAAAAAATACCATTCCACCTTATGAAAGTTGCTGGGCTTTTTTTTTTACAGACTTTGTAGAGTGCTTATTTCATTGTTTAATTTTTAATTTACTTTTAGAGCAAAGAGTTGACCTGGGAAAGATCAAGATGGACACTTAAGACCCTCCATACCGTTCTCTGGTCCACTGAATGCTTTCTAGTCTGCTCTCATATATGTGCGATGAGCATGCGACTCTGCATATCCATTTGGCTGGATATCACCTCCGTGCCTCTGTCCCATGCTCCTCTCCTGTCTTCCCTCCATAGTCCGCTTCCTGTTCTGGTGTACCCTGCTCATTCCCCCTTGGGTTTTCACATATGGATCCTGTCCCACAGGCTCCTCCCTTCCTTTCCTCAGCCTCACTCCCACTCTGAGTCCCACCCGATTTG